TGAAAGGGCAGGTGGAGGGAAGGAGCAGAGCAGAGCCCAGGAAAGCGGAACAAAGGAGAAGAGAGGAGCGTAACCAACCCACAGGCATCACCCCCAGGAAGCCCCAGGCTGTCCAAAGTCCACCCAAGTCCCCTCTCCCCCCACAATCCCCATAATGTTCCCATGAACAGGAAAAGAAAAACAGTGTGCAATGTTTCTCTTCACTCGTATTCTTAGTCAAGAAATATTTATTGAGCAATTACTATGTGCCACTGAGTGCTTTAGGTTCTTGAAATACAACAGTGAGCAAGACAGCCGGGCTCCCCCCGCCCTCAGGGAGCCTGTGATCAGTGGCGCGGGATTTCTGCCCTGTGCATCTATAGCCATTCACGCAGGGACAGAGAGAGAACCCAGGAGCTGCGGAGAAAGGATTAAACCAGCATGTCCTGAGTGCCAGCTCTATGCCAGGCACTGACCTAGCCGCTGGAGCACAGGGATAGCGGACACCCTGCCCCTTCCCTTGGGGGTGCACAGCTTGGGGGTTGCAGGAGAGTGGCAATAAAAATGCCAGCATTTGTGAAGTGTTTGTGATGAGCAGGCCCCCTTTGAAGCATTGGAGGAACATTGATAAATAACAGGAGGAAATGCTTAATTCTGTTCCATCTGTAAAATCTGGAAGTAGGACCCTCACGTTCCATATGAACCCACCTCTCCTTGAGCTTGTTGAACTCGGGGTAGAGGATCTTCTCATCGTAGGAGTCCTTAGCCACCATCCGATTGTCGCTCATTGAGGCAAAGGCAAATATCAGGTGGGTACAGAGAAAGGGGTCCAGGTCTCTGGGCAAGACCAAGGCTGAGCCGGGTCGACTGTGTGCCCAGTTGGTGAAATAACACACCAGTTTGTGGGCAGCGCCTGGCAAGGGAGAGCTCACATTAGTTGGCAGAGACCAAAGGAGGGGATGGAGCTCAGCTTTCACAGACACAGCCACTGCAACATTCTCCCCCCCCACCCTCGCCACACACACACTCAATGCGACACTGAGGACCCCCATTGCTGAGATCTGAGGTCCCAGAAGAAAAGAATGCCTTCTGAAATCCTGGTCAGAACGGATCCTCGAGACTGGGTCCCAGCACACAGAGAGGGACACAAACAGCAGGTGACAAAATTCTCTGCTGGACTGGATTGGGCCAGTGATCCCTGACACAGGACCGAGGCAAGGTAAGGATGCAGGGGACACTAAACGCAGAGCACGGCTCAGCCAGAGGATGACCTGGCTCAGAGAGGGGGCACAATTTCCTCACCATCGTGTTGTTTCAGCATCAGAACCAGCCCTGCAGGAAACAAAGGGATCACACACAAAGTGAGTGGCACACCCCAGCATGCCCTCAGCCCCCTGAGAGCACCCACCAACCCGGCACCAAAGCCAGAGGCAGACACATGAGTGGAGACACACGTTGTTCACTCATTTGCTCGTCTCTAAGCTGAGTCCGTGGAGCCAGAGCTATCTAAGCTCCTTGTCACTCTAATAAACACTATTATGAGTGTACACACGTGCTGCACACAGGGACAGCCAGGACTTTCAGGAGCCCCAGCAGGAGCTCTCGGCCAGCACCTCTCAAACCTGCCTGCAAATTGCAAAGCAATGGCATCCTGGCTCCTCCCCACGAAGACTCTGATTTCACTAGTCAGAGGTGGAAACCAGACATAGGAATGTTTAACGTGCAGCCAGGTCTGAGAATCACCTCTGGTCACCCCTCCCTGGGCCCCTCTGGCCCTTCACCAGGTCTGGTCCCACCTCTATCGAGCCCAGACCACCCGAGGCTGAGGCCCAGGCTGGTACCTGCTGGACTGAGTGACACACTCACCAACCCACAGCAACAGTCTCCTCATGTCCATGGTCTGAGAGTTGTGAGGCTAGAGCTTGGGTCCCTTTTATAGGAGCTTCCCCAGGGACAACCGTGGGACGGGACCGGGTTGGCCCAGCTGCACACACAAACAGGGGCAGCGATTAATGGGCTGCTGCCCCAGAGTCACAGCGACCCCACCACCTCCTGTCCTCCCTCTCCGGCTCTCAGAACCAACAAAGCAAAGCTCCATCAGATGGTGGCATGGAGAGGGTGTCACCACGGGCCAGGGTGAGGGCAGGGCAGTGCCAGTCCCTCTTCCTGGTATTCAGTCCACATGGGCTGAGGGTAAGAAAGAAACATGCATGGGAGCAGCCGTTCCATTGTTATAAGATGATTAGTTAGGAAACAGTGTATTATAAAGTTTTCAAGCCCCAGCTGGGGACTCAGGCAGACCAAAGTTTGAATCTCAGTGTCACCAATTAGAAGTTTTATAGTCTTGGGCAAACTACTTAGCTCTTTGAGCTTCAGCTCCCATACTTGGGAAATGGAAACGATAGCTCATACTTACTCCGTAGGGTTTTAGAGGAATTAAAGAGATAATGTCTGAAAAGTATTAGGTCAGTGCTGGGCAGATAGTAAGGGCTCGGTGAATGGTAGCTGTTGGCAGGGAGGCCAAATGAGTTGCCCAGCGGAGCAGGGTTCTCACACTCCAGTGTTGACACTTGCCAGGCAGATAATATGTATGGTTGGGGGGGGTCTCGATAAAGTAGCTCACTCTCCACTTTATCAGACAAAAAGCAGTTCGAGCCCAGGGATGCACATCAGGTGCGTGAGGCGTCTGGGTCAGGAGAGAGCAGAGGTTGGTGCGGGGGCCCATTGCTCCGTAGCCACTGGTGGCCGCCACGCAGTGAAGTAGGCCCGCTGTTGGCAGATTCTTTGATTTCTCAAGACGGAGCCTGAATTTCTGTTTGAGCCAACAGCGTTTGAGCCAGTATATGAGCCCATGGGGTGGGGTGGGGTGTCAGGATCCTAAGGAATATAATGAACACAGTTCTGGATACCTGAGAGCCAAAATTTAAAAACACAACAGAGCAAGGTGAGAAATACACAGAACAGGCCTGCCGCCAGGCGCTTTTGTGACCCACCCGTTTCCTTTTTCTGCCACGGAAGACCTCGGCCCATGGGTCGGTCCCAGGTCCCGGGATCTGAGTGTCAGCGATGGAGGACCCGCAATCGGATGTGCTCGGTGTATCCAGTACGCGCATCCTCGGGGACTGACACTATCACCTAATCCACATGTCACCGAGGCGCTAACCAGAGGCCACTATGGTAAATGACACAGAAAAATAACAGTGACTAGTGGTTGGATTTGCTCCGGGGGAATGAACTTTCCTATCAGCAGTGTGCCTGGATCGCACAGAATAAAAACAGTGGGCGGTGCAGAGCGTTCAGGGCGAGGGCGTCTCTCTGGGGCTCTGGGAGAGCCTAACGGGGTGTCTGCCTAACAGAGACTGTCTCCCTTTGTTCAGCTCAGGCCCCTGCCAAGGGGCACGGGCGACTAACGCTGTACCCGTCGCAGGGCCAAGTTCGCCTTGCGAAGCTTGTTCGGCTGCACCGGGGCCAGTCCTCCGGGTGCGGTTCATGCCTGCGGGAGGCACCGGTACTGCCGAGGAGGGCGCCACGGCGCAGCGATGCCCAGCAACGACCCCTCCGCCTCACTCGGCCACGGCCGTGCCAGGGGCTGGCAGCTGCGCCTCTGTGCCAGCAGGCGATGAATGTGAGACGCTGAGTGGGCGGCCTGCTGAGGATCCGTGAGCCGCGTCCCTCTGTCCTCAATCTTTCTCCTGAGTTCTTGCTGTCAAAAGATACAATCGCTGCTTTTAATTTTTATACATTCAACCGGATACTTAAAAATCCTCCCCTCTCGGGCTTAGCCTGTTCTCATGAAATGAGAAAAGACATTTGCAAATGTCCTACAGGTGACTTGCTGAAGAAACCCCTACACCAGCGCAACCGCTTCTGTGTTATACAACCCTCCGCGACATGAGGGCAAGACCACGGACACGGAGGGAGCCGTTTGGTTTCAGCAGAGCATTTGACTGCATCTTTCTGAGGCCCGTGAGCGAACTGGAGAAGTAGGACTTGAACAAAGTCAATCGGTTGAAGGCTGTAAGAACTCAGAGTGCTGGCTGCGGATCAGTGCGAACATCAAAGAGCCTTACCACGTCTTTAAAATAAAGGATATTCATAAAATAAAGGCTATTGACTAGAGCAGCATTTTCCAGCATTTAATATAAAAGATGATTTTTGGTTTGCATGAGCATTTTTTAATTTTAATATTTATTTTAATATGCATTAGAAAATGTATATTACCTCCCCAAACCATAATTTCCTAGATATTGTTTAAAAACTGAGGCAGTTAAAAAGTCTATTTTAAAAAAGTAGGAGAGGTCAGTACTATGTCCAAATGAGCTTCATTACTGTCAGCCGGGACCCCAGGTAAGGGTTTCTGCTGAAATGGAAAAGTTCCGTTTGAAACTAAAGTTCCTAATGCTTATGACATGGAGCCTCCCCAGGGGACATGCTTGACGGGAATCCTCCGGCACCACCGTGGACGGGACGGGACGGGGGAGCCGCGTCCCTGTCCCCTGAAGGAACCAGCCGGAGCGCTGCTGGGCCCTCACCAGGAAGCTCAAGGGTGCTGTCTGGGGATTCGACTCTCTGTACCGATCTTTTGAATTTTAAGGACCAATTCTATCTTGAAGCTGCAGGACATGATTTATGAGACAAAGAGAGTTTCCACAATATGTTATGGACTACATCACACCTTATTCCACATCAAAGGACATCGCAAGATCATGGAGTGAGGTGTCTTCTGTACCTTAAAACAAGTTACCCCCTCCTCTCCTGACCTCCACACCTCACAGTCTCTCTGGATTGTACCATCTCTAGTAATGTGACCATGTAATGAATCAGGAGGATGGACACCTCTACAATTCCTTTTTCCTTTTTAATGGAGAACTCAAGAAAATGTGTTTTGGGTCCAAGATTGGTCCGCTCGCTTTAGTTTTCCAAAACCGTGCTATATGGGCTGTTGATGTTCTTGAGAAATTCTAATGAACTCAAAAGTGAGACTAGAGCTAGCTTACCCTTTTTCCAAATAGTTTCCTGCACAAGTGATTCTGTTGTGTGACCCACGGACTGGTAGTAAGAAACTCGCCACAAAAGTTAATTGTTCATGAAGTCCCAGCTTCTCCACCTATGCTGACTTTCCTTAGATGCCCTAACGCTGCCCTAGAACACATCAAAGCCTTCAGTGCATGTCTTACTGAACGACTTAAGTATACTTTGAAGCAAACCTATTCTTTTAGTTTGTAGATACAAAGTTAAGTCAAGCAACTACTGAGATGCAAATATGAAAGGCACTCTGTCCAAATATATCAAGACCCTGCCTCTTAAAGAGCCTCTACTTTCAGGTCTAGACGTGGCAAGTCTTGGAGCCCTCTGAAGAGAAATGAAACTATGGGGACACTCCCCTCTGGCCCCATTTCCTGCCCTTTCTAACATGCTACTCGGAAGAAACATGGCTGGAAGCCCAAAGCAGTCAGAGCTTGGGTGACTTTGCTGCTGGAATGTGACTGTGAATCAGTAGGTGACGCCTGCACAGCCGTTTGTATGAAAGAACCCGCCTCCCACCGTCCTGGGGGGCAGGATACCTCAGGCATCAGCCCACTGCCTGGTGCCACCTGCATCTGGACCAAGCCTTCCTGCTTGCTGTGGACCCGAGGGCCACCCCAGGGTGAGCCTCCTATGCCCTGGACCAGTGATCAGCTGTGAAATTCAGTAGGTGTAGTTCTAAAGCTACTTTGTCCACCCCTGTATCAATGGACTTCAGCATAACAAAAACAAGGAAATGGACTTACTCCGACATTCGGACATCTAAACCAGTGAAATTAAACACACGTGCTTGTGTGGTTTTAAACAAAATGAGCCCAATCCCACCTGTCACAGCAAGTCCATGCTCCCTCTACGGAAACTATTCTCAAGTCTGCAATCGTGGTAGCCATTCCTACTGCGACTCTGATTAGGCTTACAAGTGTCTTGGTGGCAATCAATAGATGCGAATTACTCTCATCAGCACAGATCTGAATCCAAACTATTATTTTTTACAGTAAGATAATATGGTTCTTCAAAAGCTGTTTTCCTTCTCTGATGCCATTTTCACCACCTTAACATATCCACACACTTCCTTGGATTCTTCTCTCTTCCAGTTTCCTCTCTGCCATTCTCAAGGGCTGTGCGAGTTCAATTCCTACCCACCTTACCCCTGGCCTTCCCATCTCTAATCACAAGTTTTAAGTGTTTTGTTTTTTAAAAATATTTATTGATTTCAGAGAGAGGAAGGAAGAGGAGATAGAAACATCAATGATGAGAGTCACTGATTGCCTGCCTCCTGCACGCCCCCTGCTGGGGATTGAGCCCACAGCCCGGGCACGTGCCCTGACCGGGAATCAAACCGTGACCTCCTGGATCCTAGGTCGATGCTCAACCGCTGAGCCAAAATGGCCGAGCACGAATTTTTAAGTTTTTACCTCTGGGAAGAACTTGTGTTTCCACCCATTTACCCTATTACCTCCCAAGAAGTTACAGTTAAGAACAGCGAAGGCAAATAAATAAAAATAAAAAATAAATCATTTAAGATTTTCCTAAAAAAAGAACAGTGAAGGCTTTATTCTCACCTCACCCCAAACCCGGTAGATCACATGACAATTCCCACGGATTTTCACTTAAGGGTAATTGTGAGAACTGAGCTCGAGCTTGGCAATGAATAAATAAATAAATAAATGGCTGCAAGACTGATGCCCTGATAAGTGAAATATGTCGAACTGCACACAAGACGCGCTGGAAAAGACAGGCCCACAAAGCCTAAACTTTTTATTTCATCAGCCAGTATTTCCAAGTCTCTGATGCCACCATTTAAAATCTTCAGTCCACAAAAACAGTCTTCACACTGCCCATATCCGCAGAAAGGTGCCCAGAGACAGGAGAGGTCAGGCCCAGGCTGTTTCCAGGTAAGAAAAGTGGCAGACATTTCCCTGCCAGTCAGGTCAGTTTCTAACTCAACTGAAATGCCTCTAAGCTCTCCCCCGTCCCCATCTATGACATCTGACATCTATGACAGAAAAACACTCATCTCTCCTGTACACAACTCCACAGGGAGTGGGGGGCATTATCTAGGCCAGGAAATGGACTTCGGACTCAGTTTAATGGCAAGATGTGTAAAACTGTGGTGAGCGACCTGGCTCTTCCTCAAGGCAAGCTGGGCTGGATTCTGTGAATGGAGCATCGCCCATGTTAAAGTGAATTAAGTTCTATAAAAAAACTAAGCTGCTCCTATCCTGCGAGTAGTAAGTACATGGGCTGCTCCTAGAATCCAGAAATGCCCACAGCCCACACCTCATCCACATACGGCCAACTCCTCATGCACAGCTACACGGGAAGCATAAAAGCCTTTTATAAACTCTTTTTGTAGGGGGGCGGGGACAGTGGGTCCTGGGAACAATGTGGGATGGATTTTTGATCCCCTCCCCCCACCAAGAAACACACACACACACACACACACTCAGACATACATACCTATCCATTTCCCAGATAGTTTCTCCCCTATGACTACAGGATCCCAGAATCCAGCCACCCCTGGCTGAAACATGCCTACTAACTGCCCAGACCTGGGGTATCAGCAACCGCTGAGGCTCCAGTGTGGCCTCACAGACTGAGAGGCCGGGGCAAAGGGTGAGGCTACTCCTGGGGGATTTGTTTTCTGTCTTAAATCCAATCTAGTCGGCAACACTGTTAGGTCCAGGGGCTGAGAGAGGCTCTGTGGGCAGCAGGTGGTGGATGACCTGGTGGTCCCAGCCCACGGTGGTGAGGAGGGAGTGATTGAGTGAAGACCAAGTGGCATCTCTCACAAAGTCTCTGTGGGCTCGACTTCTAAACCTGAAAAAGGAAAGAAAGTTTGAGCATGGTAGGAGACAGGAGGAAAAATGACCTGAAGAAGAGAACCCACCATATCCAGGGCACATTTTTGGGATGTGTTATAAACATGTCATCATAGACGGCCTTGCCACCAGGATAGCATTGTACCCAAAGGATTTCATCGATCACTATTTTCACAGACAAAGAAATGGTGGCTAGAGCAACAACAGGGATATGGGCCAAGAGCAAGAGCAGGGATATGGGCCAAGAAGCAAGAACAATCCAGACCTGCTGTCTGGTGCCCCTCACCGGGTAACAGGCTATAATTCACTATGCGCTTCTTATGGGAGGAGGGCAGACTGCCCTCCCGGGAGACAGCTGGAATCCAGCCTCAGAAATGCCACCCACCACCACACTCCCTCTACGAGGGACAGGGCTGGTTGTGAATCCGCCTCGGGGAGGGAGACAGTCAACACTCGGCCTGCTGCCACCACTGGGCCCCTTGAAAGGGACATTGTGTTTTGTGAAGAGGAAAGGGCCCAGCCACTGCTGCTCTCCCCCCGCCTGCTGACCACAGGCTCCACCCCGACTTACACCTGGGACAGGCTGGCGTCCAGCACAGCGAGGGAGCAGTCTTCACTGACAGAGGCCAGGAGGGGGGCACTAGGAGAGGAAGGAGACGGTGTGAAAGGGAAAGCATGGGTCCCAGGACAAACCCCGAAGGGCCAGACCCCACCCCCCACTCTAAAGTGACCTGGAGAAGGGGGCCTGATCCCCACATTGGGTTAAGGTCTGGCTACCACTCAAGCCCATATTGTAGGTTCCAAGGAAAGATGAGGTAAACGGAGGAAAGCCAGGGTTGACAGTCGCCCTGGCAACTAACCATCCCATCTGGTCCCTCCCTGCAGCTCCAGCAACAACCCAGAAACACAGGCTTCTCAACCACTGTCCCAGAAAGGACTCGTCTTCAGAGGCCTCTGACATTCTGAAAGCTCAGCAGAGCAGTGTCTGCTTTCAGGAACCCCTATTGGCTAATGCTTGGCTGACATAAAGCAAGCCCCCTCGCTGTGCCCACGCATCCCCAGCAGGCCCGATGACAAAGAACAGTACCTGTGTGGGGAGAACACCAGCCTGGTGACACACTGGGAGTGCACGGCTGAGCTGAGGACACAGCTTGCACTCTTGGTGTCCACAAGGGAGATAGTCCCATTCTCATCGCCTACAAGAGAGAGAGAGCGTGGGCACTGGAGTCAGCCAGGCCTGGGTGTGAAGATGCTGGTCCCTCGATGTTGGACAAGTTAACCACTCTGAGGATTAGCTTTCTCTTTTGCTAAGTAGGAATACTTAGTTATTGGGTGGTTGTGAAAACTGAATTAACGGATGATGTAGTTATTAGTTTAAGCACAAACCATATCTCCACGATGGCACCACAACCATCCATAGTAGAGCCAATTTACACCAGGCTCACTGATATAAACAAGATTTAAGCTCCTGTGGTGTCTCGTCAATGTTGTAACAAAACAATGTTGAGTGAAGTGAGCTTCAAGGGCCTGCTGTGTAGTAATCCATGTGCTTTGTGGCCCACTGACTTCTGGCCATGCCCAGTATACAGGAACGAGAACAATCAGGACTGAAATCCACTGAGGAAAAATCATCATGTTGTCCAAAGCTAACCAAAACCACTTTTGGCGCACGCCTCCCCCAGCCCCCATCAGCACCTTTCATCTGGCGCCCAGGGGTGCTGATGAGACGGAGCAGCCAGAGCCTGTGCGTTACGGAGTCAGCACTCCCTCTCCTCCTCCCCCTTCCCAGAGTCAACACACAGTTCGAGATGCTCCCTTACCCAAGACAAAGACTTCGCTCTGCTGAGGGTGCCAAGCCAGGGAGGTAGGAAGGTAGCCAGAGGCTGCGCAGCCTGCAGAGAAAAGGGGGGTGCTGTACAAGACCCAGAGCCCAGCTCTGAGAAGAAGTTTCTCTGGTGAAGTCAGTCCAGGTCCCAGGAGCACTCTATTCTGTTTCCAAACCCCACTAAGGCAGCCGTGTCCTTGCCCTTGACCCTCATAACCTCCATTTATCCATCAGCCTCCTGCCCTTTCTGGGCAAAAGTCACAGGCAAGCTTCAGGCATAAAACATGAAGATATCAACTCTGGCCCCTTTGTCGACCCATCTAGGAAATGTAAAGTAAATCACCCACCCAGGAACCAGCCCTTCCTCTTGGTACCCGCTGCATAAAATGGGGTCAGCAGAGCTTTGGTGGGAAAGAGCGATTATGTAACTTATGTCACAGCAACTGGGCATTTGGCAACTTTTCCTTTGACTCTGGCCAAGGGAAGCCTCTTCTGGTTGGGTTCCCAGTACCACTCTCCCACCACTGGCTCAAAGACTCACCCATCTGCGATGCTGGCTTGGGACAGCGGGTATCCCAGAGTAAAATTCTACTGTCCTAGAAGCAGAGGAACAGAAAAAGGGCTTCAGAATCCAAAGCAGCAGCTGCCTGCCAGGAGGTCTCCATGCTGGATTCTGGCCTAGAGGGTTGGAGTGTGGTTGGGGAGTGGGGAGGGAAGAAGAAGCCGTTTCTCACCTCACTGCACGAAAGAAACATGGAGTCCTGGTGGGGGGAGGCAGCAACACAGGTGACCTGCCCAGAGTGAGCTATAAAGGAAAGAGAGAGAGAAATATGGCAGAGAAGAGGCTGGAGCCACCACTATCCAGCAGCCCAGACCCTACCAAGGGGTAGGAGGGAGAGGGTAAGAAACAGGCCTAGGCTAACAATGCAATTTAATAAATTTCATAAGAGATTCTGAACTAGAGAAAACCTAAGAGGAGATGTTGATGGAGTTATAAAACCTAAAAAGGTGGTAAGGCCATCAACAGAAGTGGAGGAATTAAGGGCAAGGGATGGGCATTAGGGCCTGACTATAGCTTTGGAAGAAAACCATCAGGCAGGAGAGTGAGGACCTGCTGCCCTTAACATCCAAGCAAAGTTCAAAGAGCCCAAAGAGAAAAATAAAAACAAAACAGCGAAGGCCAGGACTGGAAAAGAAAGAAAAGGCACTCACCCCGGTATGAATTCAGTACCATCTGCTGAGCGAGGTCCCAAACCTTGATGCTAAGGAGCAAAAGGAAACCAATACTTCAGTGGGTTGCAAAATCTTTAGAGAGACCTTACGGACACTAGGTTAGTCACTAGGTTCTGGTAATGAGTCCCAAACGTTATATAACGAGGGTAATAGGATAGTAAAGACATCCAAAGGAGGCCCGGAGCCAGGAGTGGTGAGAACAAGGACCCACCAGAAGTCTTTGCTCCCGCTGACAGCCTGCGCGCCGGAGCTCAGGACACTGACGGCACACACTATGTCATCGTGCTCGTACTTGCAGAACTTGCTGACAATGAGCGTCTCATTCTCATCTAGCTCCCACAACTCAACAGCACCTGGTGGGGGCGGGATGCGGGATGAAGGAAACAAGCCTGAGTTACACCGAGAGAGCAACTCACTTCTTGGGTTCAAATAGTCCCCGGTCCCTGAACTAACAGAGTTTCTTCTATACAATCAAAGGCCCTATCATTAGAGGGCTTAGCTAACTTCCGAGCCATTTGCCTTTACGCTGGCATCACTCTCTTCCTAAGGACAGTCCAGATAATTAGGTGGGGAAGGCTTCTAGAGCAAGACAGAAAAAGATGGATCAGCTGGTAAAATCCGTTACCCAGCTTCTAGTGAGAAAATATTGGAAAACAAGTTCCCGGGAGAAAGGATGGCATCTCCACAATTGTCTGTGTAGCAAACAGTCCAACTGCAATGTGTGTGGGACAATGTCAATGAATGTCTTACAGAGTCTTAAACAAAATAGCCACAGCTCGGTATCGTGCACAGTGACTGGCTGAGTACCGACAACCAAAAGTTGTCTTGAATACATGTAGTGCCCAAGCTCAACAGCCAGAGAGGCTCAGTTTTTAACGCCCACATTTACCCTCCCCTGTGATGCCTGCCAACACCCCAATTCTGATTTTTTAAAATAATAAAGTCTCCACTGTTGGGTCTGACATTCGAAACAAAGAAAGCAGAATGGAGACGTTTAAGAAGAGAATGGGCCCGGCCGGGCGTGGCTCAGTGGTTGAGCGTTGACCTAAGATCCAGGCGATCGGGGTTCGATTCCCAGCCAGGGCACATGACCGGGTTGCGGCCTTGATCAATGACTCTCTCATCATTGATGTTTCTATCTCTCCCTGTCCCTCTCCTTTCCTCTCTCTGAAATCAATAAAAATATATTTAAAAAAAAAAAAAAAAGAAGAGAATGGGAAGGTATGGAAAGAGGCAGCACAGATTGGCTTCAGCGCCACCTGTAAGATTCAGATTATCCTTGGTCTGGATTGGGGGGCGGGGGGATATGGGACAGATTACATAGAAGAAAAAATGGTTCCAATCCATTTCTTAATTTTGTTGTGGCTTTTCCTAGAAATTCCCATCAGCGAATTCAGAATCTTGGAAAAGGTATTTCCACCTACACAGCAGTTCTCCTTGGGGATCAAACCCCTCAATACCCCGAGCACCGCATGTGGGGCATGAAAGACTGAACCTAGCCCGCCCCGTACTCCTCGGCCTCTGCTGCACCTGGGGGTGGAGGAGAAGGTGACTCACCTGAATCGGAAGCCACTAGGATACCTCTGTCCCCCACCCACGTGAGGTCAGCCACTCCAGCCTCCGTCTGGACTCCAGCGGAACAGAAACCTTCGTTGGGGGCGGCACAAGGGTCCTTGAAAAACCAGAGGGAGCCAGCCCAGCAGCGGCCACTCAGGCTGGAGGCCCCGAGCAGGAGCGCCCCGTCTGCGGGAGGGACAAGCTGTCAGCGCGTGCGGAGCGTGAGGGCCCGTCTCCATGGCGACCGCCCGGGAAACCACGCGGGCCGGGTCCGGACGCGAGCTCAGGATCGCGGGGCACGGTTAGGGACGGAGTTCAGCGAGGGAAGGGTCAGGATGGCAGGCGGGGCGGGGGCGGGCGAGGAGGATCAGCCTCGGGAAGGGTCGCCCGGAGCCGGGGTGAGGGGAGCCCCAGGCCCGGGATCTCGGCTCACCCGACCGGTACCGCGCAGCCTCCAACTGCCGCTCCATACAGGCGGGCGCATTAGGGGGCAGGTTCCACTCGCGATCCTCCGGGGGTACTAGAGGAGGCGGGGTTTCCTTCCTCATCTCCACGGTTTCAATGCCAACCTGGACCCAAACGGGACGCCCGAGGGAGATTCAGCTCCGACAGTTCCCACGTGGTACCCTCCTGGGCCTCCGCCCCTCTGGACAAGCGACTGCCACTCTACATCTCGCGAGATTTGCAGCTCTAGCCCGCTTTCGCTCGACTGCAGGTTCTGTGCTCTGTGCCCCTTCTCGCGAGAAAAAAAAAAATTCTAGAGGAAGTAGAAGGGAACGAGGTTTGCGTTCTCTCCTCGCGAGACTTGCGAGCGACCATCTTGCCCTGCCTCTGACAGATTCCTCCCTGCAGGTCACCAGGACGCCAAGGCCGCGGAGCGGACCCTCGCTGACCATGCTGTCCCGGGTGGTGCTTTCTGCTGCAGCCACAGCAGGTGAGAGGGGTAGACTCTGGTCGGGGCTTTCAGAGTGACCGTAAAGAGGCGCGTCCATGGTTACGCGGAGGGGGTGGAAGGCAGCGGGTGAAGAAACGCTAGCGAGGCTTGGGCCTGAGCTGGGAGTCAGTAGCGCCGCTCCGAAGGTGAGCGTGGGGTCTCGGGGGACAGGAAAGGGGGGTGAATGGCCTTAGTGTTCGGGCCCCGCGGGGACCGAGGGAGGGGCAGACCACATTTCACCTTGACCTTGCTGACCTGCGCCTTGTGTATTTGCAGCCCCCTCTCTGAAGAACGCGGCCCTCCTCGGTCCCGGGTGAGTGAGAGGGGTGAATCCTCCCCTTCGTCCTTGGTTTTTTTCGTCTCATTTCGCTTCTCGGTGACCTTGTCTTCGCTTTGAGCCAGAAATTACCTTTCTTTAGGTAATTTTGGAACGCGCAAAATTCAAACACTTGGGCTTTTGTAACTGCCTGGGACGACATCGTCGTAGCACATAGCGGCAAACGTTAAGATTTTTAAGTGGCGTGTTCTAACTAAACTATAAACTGGTTTTGATGTCTCCTAAGCCCCACCCCTCTCCCCGTGACCTTCAGCTAGACACAGCTGCCGCGGCGCGAATCAGAGTTCTTGTAATCAGAATTTTTGCATACTCAAGAACAAGCTTTTGTTTTGTTTTTAATTAAACTTGTTGGGGTGACATTGGTAAATAACACAGTTTAAAGCGCACGGTTCCGTGATACATCGTCTGTGTGTTGCATTGTGTGCTCACCACCCAGTCTAGTCTCCTTTCCTCGCCGTATATCGGACCCCCTTTATTCTCTACACCCTTCCCCCACCCCTCTTCCCCTCTGGTAACCTTCATACTGTTGTCTGTGTCTATGAATTTATTTGCTTTGTTTGTTTGTTTGTTGCTTCCTGTTTCATATCTCACATGGGAGAGCAAGTTTTTTAAAGTAAAACAATGAATCGGGTTGTATTTTTACTGCTAGCTCATAAGTGAGGGGAAATCTGTTGATTCAGTCGGTATTTATTTGCCACCTGGAGATAGAAAAATGAGTAAGGCTAAGTACCTGCTTTTATGGAACTCGCACGGTCTAGAGAGGAGGTAGCTATAGAGCGGTGGTTTGGAGCAGCTGTTTTCAACCAGTGTGCTGCAAGGATTTTTAAAACATGAGGTCCCGCTGACCTCTTTTCTTTTCCCATAGATTGTCAAATAAAAAAATGACAACAGCCAACACAGCATTAGCCATCAGGTGTGAATTATTCAAAATTATACCTTTATACTTTTTTTTTTTTTGGTAAGATAGGCAAAAAATATATTTTTTGGTGTGCCACAGAATTTTAGTAATTAGTTTATGTGTGCCATGAGATGAAAAAGTTTGAAAATCACTGGTTTAGAGTGAGGTCTCCAAAGCTAGAAGAGGGGTACACCTGGCCTCTCCACTTACCAGCTGTGTGACCTCAGTTTCCTCATGTGCAAAAGGGACATAATAGTACATTATGGGTTATGAAAATTAAAATACTTAATTCCTGTGAAACTGTAAAAACAGTGCCTGATACATAGTATGTGTTTAGTAAATGTTAGCAGCTGTTACTGTTAATATTGTTTCATAAATTGTGTCATGGGGCGGGGGTGTTTTTAGTCCTAAATCTTGTAAAATTTGATAACTATTCAGTGGCTTGAAAAAGTGGCTTAAATCTGTTTTTTGAGTATGCAATAAAGGCTGTAATTGACTGCTTCCAGCTTTTGAGAGAAAAAAGATTCCATACAGACAAGTAGATAATCACAATACAGGTAATGAGTAAAATACACAAAACACATACATAAGATACAAGGAACATCCTCGATCTCTCTCTCACATTCCGTATCTAATATATCAGCAAGGCTCTCCCACCAGATTACACCTGGACTCTGACCACTTCTTCCAGTTCCACTATTCCTGGGGTATGACCCTCCATCACTTTCACCCAGGCTAGTCCAGTAGTCTCTTAACTAGCCTCCTTTCATCTCTCTTCTTTCCCATTATGGGCCATTCTCCCAGGAGCCATAGGAATTAAGTCAGTCCCCTTATCTCACCCCCACAAAACCCTCCAGAGCTCCGTATCCCATTTGAAATAAAATCCAAATTAACATAACCCAGAAGGTCCAAACTGAATTGATCCCATCCTACCTCTTTATTTTCTTCCGCTGTCTTTTTAGCTCATTCTGTAGCCTTATTGGCCTTCTTCCTTTGAAAACTGCCAAGCTTATTTTTTCCTTGCTCAGAATCTTAGTACTTGTTCTCTTTCCCCCAGGTCATTTGCTCAAATGTCCTCTGGCCTTCTACCGAAAACGTCTTTCCCCCATTCTCTGTTGCTCCCTATCCCCTTACCTTGCTCCATTTTTCTTCATAGAACTTAGAACAGTTGCCTCAAATTCTGTATGGATCTATACACACACTCCCCACACCCTACTAGAGTGTTGAAGGCTCAGACTTTGCTCGTTGCTATGCTTTCAAAGCCTGACATAAGAAGAAAGTCAGAGAATGTTTGTAGAATGAATGAATGTTAGCCCAAGATTAGAGCAGCCTTTATAAAGGATATACTTGAGATGTTCTAAAGGCTGGTTGGGCTTGGTAGTTATGAAGCAAAAAGCATATCAGGCTGAAGGAGCAGCATGAAGTGTGTTTTTGGTTTTTGTTTGTTATTGAGAGCTCTAAGTACTTCCATATGGCTAGAGGGTAGGAGAATAGTGGAAGGTGAGCGCTAAATTTGACAGGTGCTAAATCACCTGTGCTACATTAAGTAGTTTTTTTTCTGTAGGCAGGAGACACCCTGTTAGAGAGTTTTTAAGTCAAACTTGCATTTTAAAAACATTAGCAGCATGTGGAGGGGGGTAGGTTTAAGGGGTATTTGACCAGAAGAAGAGAGACCAGATTTTGGATTAAGTTCAGGCAAGAGATAAGGGCTACAGTAGATGGGAAAAAGAGTGAATTTTATTTCATCTGAAACCTAATGAGACACTAGTTTGTTATAACTACTAAAAATGCAGTCTTAGGCTACTTCAATACAAGAATAATTTGCAAATAATACAGTAGTTCAAGCCCAATAATGGCAAAGCAAGTTCAGAATACATATTTGCAGAGTGAGTGATTTGGTCATACTATGTTAAGTATTACATTCAGTTCTGTATACTACCTTATTTTTGTAAACCAAACCAGAGAGCTCTTTGTGGTGGACAATCAGTATTGGATTGTGAGAGGAGTGAGATGTTTAACCCAGATACAGGAACGTTGTCTTTCTTACTGAGAAAAATAAAATTAGAGCCAATGGAAGGAGGTTTCAAAGACATATGTAGCAGTTCAGTTCAACAGTGAACATAATTAGAACTACCTAACACTGAAAAAGCCTGTTTCACTTAGAATTGGTCAACACCCTACTACAGAGAATATTCAAAATGTCAAAGTTCTTGCCATCAGGGAACTCACAACACAGTAGGCATGTAATAGTTAACCACTTACATAGAACTTTAACGAATGCCAAGTACCATTCTAAACACTACATGTATTAACTCAATTCTCACAACCACCTTATAAGGTTGTATCCTTTATTTCCCCTTTACTTAGAGAAACTAGAGAGTACAAAAGTTTACATCATTTGCTCAAAGTCAAGTGGCAGGTTTAGGATTTGAACCCAGATAGTCTGGCTGCAGTCTATGTTCTTAAATTTATTTCAGTGCTGATAGAAGACAGATGACTGATGAGACTTAGAGGAGGGATTCTAGTATTGGGTAGAAGATTACATACAGCTTTATGTAAGTCATTTTCCCTGGTCACACAGCTGGTGAATAGACCCTGACCTTCCCATGCTTGGTCTGTTCTCTTTCTGACACTGGGAAACCGCCCCAGTCCTCATCCCCATTCATTGTTTCTCCTGTTTACACACGGTGTTCTCTTTAAAGAACAGGCTTTAAAGTTGTGTAACTGCTACCTGTAGGGTGCTGCAGGCAACCAGGATCTTTCACACTGGGCAGCCAAGTCTTGCCCCTGTACCACCTCTTCCTGAATATGGAGGCAAAGTTCGTCATGGGCTGATCCCTGAGGAGTTCTTCCAGTTCCTTTATCCTAAAACTGGTGTGACAGGTAAGCATTTGCACGGTGTTTGATAGTATGTTTGGATGGTGTGGTTTATATTAACCTAGGATTTTAGTGGCCGCTTACCTCTTCAATATACCACAGAAATCCAGTCAGCACCCCAGTTTCCCCGCTCCTCCACCGCAGTGTTCAAGGGTCAGCAGCATGCCCTTTAATCTCTAACACAGCCTCACATCCTTTGGTGCTCGTGTTGCTCAGAAACACTGTAAAATGCTGCCCTGAAGGCCCGCTTTGTCTGCTTAGCATCTTGTGAGGGAAGAAAAGGCTATATTTGAAGCATTTGAAGATGCCGCAGGAATTGAGAATCCTGGTATCAGATCTTCCTTTTTTATATGTACTACTTTATAGTTGTTTGTTTTTTGTTCTTATTTTCAGTTTCAGGTTCCTATTAAATAAAAATAAGCAGTAGTGGATAGAATTTATCCTGACCAATGTTCCCATTCAATAAATTGTACATTTTGCAACACAAGTTATTTCTGAAAGTTACCTGACATCTTTGTGGAATAGTTCCTGCTTGTTGAGCAGTTGTGCTAGGCACTTGTCATACATTATGTTTAATTTCGTCAGCTCTGTGAAGGAGGTACTGTTCTCATTTTACAGAGAAGGAAACTCAGCTCAGA